CGTCTACAGTCACTTTCTCACAGACGCGCCGTCGCCTCCCTCTGTCTGTTCTACAAATACTTTCATGGAAATTGCTCCGAGGAGCTGCATTCGCTGGTTCCCAGACGTCATGAGTTCCAGCGCCCTACGAGGCTGGCATCCCGCTCTCACCCCTTCACTGTCGAAACTCCTAAATGTAGCCGTCTCTTCTACTCTAATAGCTTCATGTCTCGCACCTCTCGCCTGTGGAACTCCTTCCCTTTCCTGTTTCCCTGAGAGCTATAATCTCCAGCTATTCAAGTGTAATGTCAATCGACATCTCCAGTTGCCTTTGATCTATCCACTACCCTCATCCTTTCTTCTATCACTCCTATCTGATCTTGCCTAAATTTTCTGTAACCCCTTGCGTCCTAGTGGCTTCCCTTGCTTGGGGTGAAATGCTTAAAAAAAAAAAAAAAAAAAAAAAAATTTTAAAAACAATATTCATTAAAGAATAACCTATTAAGGAGTATTTTTGTTTAAAAATATCAACAAATTAAATGATTTTAGAAGTGGTTGTAAAAATCAATTTCAAATATAAAAATATTTTATTGTGATATTTTGCTTTACATTTATAAAATTTTCAATGATAATTTTCTTAAACAAATGGATGCATTTTAATTTAAAGACAATTTGATTTGTATCCCAGAATCTTTTTTTGCTCTGATATTCAAAAATTTTTTCCAAAATTTAATATGAAAATTTTTAACTCCATGAAACTTATTGAAAAAAAAAAAATTATTCACATTCACATTTTTATATTCTTAAAAGAGTAAAAAAACAAAACATGAGAAAATGTAATTCTACACATTTTAAACAAAAATACCAATCATGTTAATTTTATAAATATATATATATGTGTGTGTGTGTAATGTATATTGTTTTCGTTTTTTGTGTATTATATTTTTGATTTTTTGTTTTTTGCTTTTGTTGTTTTGACTTAAAAATCAATACATTGAATTCTTTACACTCCAAATTTAGTAAAATATGAATAAAGCACATGGAAGAATATTCCAATTTTTTATCCTTTAAAATTCAATTTGGTTTTAAATTCAATATTAAATAATTTACCTCCCTTCTGTGTCAAATAAGAATTTGATTTTTCAATTTAATATATATCTAAATTCTTTTTTTAGTTAATTTTCTTCAATTTATTTTTTTTTTTTACATCTATATATATAGTATATATATATATATTATATAAATATATATATTTTATATATTATATAAATATAATTTTATGATAGGAAAATATAAAATATATTTTTCCATTATAAAAAAAATAAATTCAAAAATAAATTTGAATAAAAACAGACCAAATTAAATTCCATTACTGGATCTAAATTATTTTTTTTTGCCTCATTTATTTTATATATATATATATATATAAATTTATTTTTTTTTTAGCAATTTAATCAAAGTACATAAGTTTTATGAAAAAAAGGTCTGACAAGGATACTGTATTAACAAGAATATCATTTAATTTTTCTTATGTTCTTATTGCAAAAAACATATTTTCTGGACATAAATTGGACTTTAAATTATCCAAGTATTCTGTATGTAGATATTTATTTCAGCTATTTTAGATATATATATTATATGATATTGGTTTGATTTTTCTTTTCATAATGAAATTTTTTAATGTTATTTACAAATAATTTTGTCCAGAAAAATCATCATATTATTATTTTAAAAAGAAAAAACTAATAAAAACTTAAATTATCATAAAATGATTACTTTTTTCTCAGAATTTATTAAACAAAAAAAAAATATCTTATTATTTCAGAACATATTATTTCATAAATAAAAATATAAGAATATTTTGCAAACCACCACTATTTTAAATGTTATCATAATATGTTACAAAATATATGGCTAATTTGGTTATATATATATTATTTTAGGATAATTGCAATGGTTGGCATAAATAAAAACAAATTTAATCATGGAATGTGATGTTGCATTCGGAAAAAACATCATATTAAAAAATCATAAAATTATATATAATGATGATAAATATATATATATATATATATATATATATATATTATATATAAACAATGATCGGTTTTTATGTGACCAAATCCTTTTATTCAAACCCTTTGGCTCAAATAATCAATCATATTCGTAAATTTAATTCTTGTAAATATAAAATTGCAACAAATTTCAAGAAGAATTTAAATATTTTTGGGAATCTTTTGAATTATGTGTATTTCATACATATACATACTTTGTAAATAGAATATGAATTTTTTTCTTCATGAAAAAAAAAATTTCTATGTATTTTTTTTCATAACCCCTTATATATCAATATATATATATATATAAATATATATATATATATATATATATATATATATATCCTATATATATTTATATATATGAAAGAATAAAAATTTTAAAACTGGAAAACTTATTACCAAATGTCATGCAAATGTAGACCTACCAACATAAGAAAACATTTAATTTAATTATGTTAAAACCTAAACTTTTATAAAAAATTGATATTTTCTCCTTTTTTCTTGATATATTTTTATATATATATATATATATATATATATATATATATATATATATTTATATATAAATATTATTTTTTTTTGTTTTTAATTTTTTCAATCAATTTTCTAGTAAAACCACATTGTGGTTCAGTGGATTTTAAAACAAAAATTTACTAATTAAATATTATAAAATATATATATATATGATATATATATATTGCATTTAAATTTTAGTCTTAAGGTTAAAAGTATTTATGATAAAAAGCTCAATATATTTCCAGATAGTGTTATAAAAAAAAAAAAAAGAAATTGTTTTTTTAACATTTATGGTTACATTTTTATGCTAAACAGTAAAATGATGAGGCCTTATATATATATATATATTTATTATTTTCATATATATATATATTGTTATATATATTTATTAACAGCTTATTTCTGCAAATTTATTAAATATTTATATAAAAAGCAACTTTAATTGCATTCAAAAACTTTATTAAAGAAAATGCCAGAAAAGATCAATAATATTGATATATATTCTTTTTATATATATATATAATATCTATATATATATTTGCAGCTTAGGCAATATGTGGCTGGCAATATTCTAAGCATGGATAAACTGCCTAAAAATAAATGCATAGTTCACTAGATTCAGGAGAGATGAAAATAATGGGTAAAAATAAATAAAAACTATTATATCAGAATTAATCCATCATTCTAAGTCTGATCAATTTATTTTAAATAAATATATATATATATATTTATAAATATATATATATATATATATATATATATAAAGTTTATAAAAATTTTTTATGATTTAAAAAATATTACAAATTTGTAAATTTCATTATGTGAGATATCTTAATTATTTATTTGTTCTATTTTTTAATAGTTATCAAAGTTTTTTAATCAAATTGAGAGATGTATAAATTTCATAAATCCTGTTGATGGAAGAGATTGACTTATATAATATAACCCCTAACATTTTAAACATTGGATTGGAATTATTGCCCAAAAATTTTTTATTGTTTAATATCACTAAAATAACTCCTTTAATATATAAATGAACATATTATGTATATAAGAAATATATACATAATTCTAAAGCAAAAACTTTTCAAAAACATATGCATTTTTCCACCATTGAATAGGGCTATGCTAAAGATTCAAACATGGCAAGAAATCAAATATATCTTGATGTGCTTTGTGCATATTTTATATTTTTTGCATATGTAAATGTATTTAAATTAGTTAAAAAAAATTCAAATTACTCCTCATTTTGTAAAATTTCCACATATTGTCTGTTCATTTTTTTGGGAATAAATTTTTAAAAAAAAAAGAACATTTTATTCTTATCAAATGGCACAGTGGAGTAATGGATAGTGGTTTTGATTGAGAAATGGAGAGCACCTTGTAATTCCAAGTCAAAAAAAATTACATTTTTCATGGTAATACTTTTTCAAAAATTATAAATCCTCTTCTTTTATCACAATTATGGGTCAAATTTAGGACAGACTGGGTTCTAAGCCTTGATGGATGGCAAATTTAGGATGTTTAAAAAAAGGCTCCAGTAAAAAAAAAAAATCCTTTCATCAGTCATGTATCTAAAGATACATGATCCTTTCTTTTGCCTTTCAAAATATGCATGGCACATAACTAACTTTAAGAGACTTTATGGATTATAAGATAATATATGTGTGTCAGTGTGTGTGTGCGTGCGTGTGTAATTACAATATGTTGCAAATTTGGATTAAATCTGACAGAACAGGAACAACTAGAAGATCATCATAAATTTTTCATGGTTTGTTATCTATTTAGTTTCATCAGAAATTTAGAATGATTCATTTGTATTTAAGTTTTTTAATTCTATTTTTTAATTCCTATTTATCTATATAGATAAAGAGAATATATATTTAAAAATACACATTAGATGTGCATATTTGTATTTAAATGATATTTTTATGTTTGTATTTGAATATAATTGGATGTAAGTATTTAAGTGGATATAGTTTGTTTTTGCTAATATATACAGGGTACCCAACAAAAAAAAAAACCCACAAAATTTGGTACAGTTTATTTAATTCTTGGAATTTTTGTTACAGTTATTTGAAACAAAAGCAAAGGATAGAAATTTAGTAAATTAAAACATAACAAAAAAAAAAAACAAATGTGAAATGTGGTGTTCAAACTAAAAAAGTTAATTTTTTATGTTAGTTAATGTTTTTTCAACATATAGTAAATCAAAAATTACTTGTTTCTTTTTTGTTTTTTTTTGTGGGGCACCCCATATGTATATGTGTATATATATATATATATATATATATATATAATTTTAAAAAAATTATTATAATATTATTAACTGCATATCAAGCACTGTTTTTAAAAATAAATGCTAAAGAACCCTGGATTATAAATCTGCTCTGTTATCATACATTAAGGACTGTTTTATTACCACCAGCACTCAAGGTGCAATACTTTATATTTAGATAGATAGATAGATAGATAGATAGATAGATAGATAGATAGATAGATAGATAGATATTTAATAAATCCAGCTCAGTGAAAAAACAGAAGTAGATGAGGTAAAAACAAGGCAAGTTTCATCTGAGGAATATAAGACAGTTTCAAAAGTTGGCTTTTGAAATTCAGTGTTTTATTGACAAACTATATATGCTCATGAAAATATATCTGAATATATATATATATATATATATATATGTGTGAAGATGAACCTGGACTATCTTTGTGTGTGTATGTGTGTGTGAATATATACATACATATATATATATATATGTGTGTGTGTGCACGTATATATTGAATTAAACAGGAATTTAGGCTTACTCAGAGAATACAGTTTTCACTGAAAGCCTTTTACAAACTCTCTACAGCTCTAATTATGGCAAACAACTAGGACAAATCTATCAAATTTCTTAAGGAAAAAACACAACAAATCCCCCCACCCACCACCATCACCTCAGAAAAGAGATTTCCATTTCATTGTTTATTTCTTGTCTCATTGATAATGGACACAGGCGTGTTCATCTGATTTTAAAATCTTCCTCATCATTTTTCCATTATACTAATATAAAGTAAATATTATTAGTATTCTTAATATTATGATTATGTAGTTTTTCTTCCAAATTTTATTAACTGGCCTATTAAATATCTCTCTCATTCTATATATATGAAAGAGATATCATTTATATGAATATATATATATATATCCATAAAGACAAATATCATATATATACATATATATATGCATAAAGACACACATATATATGCAAAAGACAGATATCACATATATAAATATATATATGCAATAAAGACAGATATCATATATATACATATATATATGTATAAAGAGAATATCATATATATACATATATATATGCATAAAGACAGATATATATATATATATATATATGTTCAAAAGACAATATATATATATATATATATGTATAAAGAAAGATATCATATATACATATATATATGCATAAAGACAGATATCATATATACATATATATATGCATAAAGACATTTTATCATATATACATATATATATGCATAAAAGACAGATATCATATATACATATATATATATGCATAAAGACAGATATCATATATATATATATATATATATATATATATATATATATATATATATATATATATATATATATATATATCCTGTGTAAGTTAGATTGTTTAAGGTAGTATAGTAAGTCCATTATTCCTTTAACGTAACTGGTAATATTTTATATAGAGGTATATACGTTCAGCTGATGTTTTAACATTTTCTATTGTTTTGTTAATATCATATATAAAAACTCTTTAGTTAACCGTTATACTCTATTAAGTATATTTTATATAATTTATTATCTTATTATATTAATATTTATTACTTATATGATTTATTTATATTATCTATGTACTTTAATGTTTTGGTTAGTTCATTTATTTATTTATTTTATTATTTTGATTTAATTTTCTATTTTCTCTTCTGTAATTTTGATAAATTTTTTCTGTTTTTTTTCCTTCTTTTATTTCTGAAAGTGTCTTTTATTTATATACTATTAATAATTATTGTTAAATTATGCTGCCTCTTCAGCGAAAATGACAACTGTTCAATTGTCATGACATTGTATCAAAATTCTGTTTCAAATATATTATATGCAACCATTGAATTTTGAATCTATGTTTCATGACATCTTAATTAACACAGACTATTTTGATTGGTTGAACTAAAATCAAAATAAATTGTTCTAAGCTGGAAAAATTTTATATCATCCCCACATATTTATCTTTTTCATTTTCCTTTTCTTTGGAGAAGAGACTATATCTTGTGTCTTTCTTTCCCTCTCGTTCTTCTTATTTCATTTTCTTTCTTCTTTTTTAGAAGAGACTATATCTTGTCTTTCTGTCCTTTTCTTCTTTTGACTATATCTTGTGTCTTTCTTTCTTTTTCTTTTTTTTAGAAGAGACTATATCTTATGTCTTTCTTTCTTACTTTTTTTATTTTCTTTTTTCATTTTTCTTGGGGAAAAGGGAAAACAAACATCCTAAATATTAAAAATTGTAATAACCCTTTATTTACTCCAAAGATGAGGTCTGAAAATATGCATAAAACATGAATGCATTTATATAGTGGTTTAGATAAATATAAATCTCAATGTAAATACCCTATAATCAAAAAAAATACATATATATGAATACATATATACAATTTTGAATAATCCCAAAACAAAACAAAAACGAAATAAATAAAATTTACTTTTTTATCCTTTCAAGTAAAATTCCAATGAAATATGAACAGATCTGCGTGTCCATTCCATTAAATTGTTCCTTTGACTTTTTGAAAAATTCTTGATTGGATTTAAATCAGGAAAGTTTCCAGGCCAGTCTAGTAATTTGATTTGCTCACTGGTAAGGCTTGCCAGTGTGCTCATGCAGCATTACAATTTTCATTTCCTTGGAGTAACATCCATCACAGACAATGGCAATAGGACAACTAATTGACGGTAGAGATAGTATTGTCTGGGCATGATAAATATCTGATGCAGTTACAGATGATGCAATATTTTTCAAAGCCTAGCAAATTTCATCATACACCACGAAAATAGATTCATATTACTGCACATCACTGCAAATGACCTAATCTGAGGTAAAAACAGAAATTGATTACACACTGTCACTCCAGTGGATCTCAAACTGACTGTATAGTAAAAGAAAGGAAATTAAAGTAGTCAGTTCAATTAATTTGCACAAGGGTGTGTATATATATATATATATATAAAGTAGACATTGAAGTGGCGAAAAGCTTGTTTTATGTTCTAAGACAATTGTCATGGCCTGGCAATTGTTTTTAGCATGAAAAAACATTTGCCATGAAAAAGACTGTTGTGGCTGGGTTTTGATTTCACTTTTAAATTTACCTATCACTGACATTTCAATTTAAACCATAAATTTCAAAACCTTAAAAATATATTTTATTTTTCATATATGTTATATTTTCAAATGAAGATATATAAAAAATTAAGATGTGTGTGTATATATATATATATATATATATATATATATATATATATATATATATATATATATAAATGAAGAAAATATAAATATACACGTAAATGATTAATATGAAGAAATTTATATATATCTGTATATATATATATATATAGATATAAATATTATAAATATGTAAGGTTTTTTATATATATATATATATAAATATATATATATATATATATATATATATAAATATATATTAGTATGAAAGAAATTTATATATATAATTCCATCTTTCTATATTCTTAAGGTGTGCTATATTTATGGGATAAAGTGCTCGATATCAGAGATAGATTTCTTGTGTAAATAAAAGTGATTTTTGACTTTCTCACAGTCTTTTAATAAAATATTTCTTCTCAAGAAAAATAATCTGTTATTTTTCTTCGGCTGTTTATACATTTAAATAAATAAAATAAGAAACAAAAAATAAAAATTTTCATAAAAAAATGAACATAATAATTTAAAAAAATAAATAAATAAATACTTCTATTCAAAATAACCCCACATAATAGACTACCCACAATGCACCACTGACCCCATATATATATAAATAGCCGAGAAAAATAACAGCACACATGGCCTGATGATTGCATATATCATGAAACAGACTGTCCCTCTAAGTTTTTTTCAATGTTCATTTATATATATATATATATATATATATATAAGTATTAAAAGGATATATATATATATATATAGATAATTATATATATACTTATATATAAATAAAAAGAAAGAACATTAAGATATATAATCTATCATCTATTGATGTTTTTTATTTTTATAAAACAGTGCTCAATGTAAATTTACAAAACATAAATATTATAAATTAACATCTGATTTAAAATATATTTTTCAATGTTTTTTAATAACCATGATTTAAATATTAAAGAAATGGGAAAACTTTAAATTTAATTTTATATATATAATTAAATTTAAAGTTTTCATTTCGTTTTTTTTTGGTTAAACATTTATTACTGCATAAAAAAAAAACATATTTTTTTCATCAGTTAATTTGTCATATATATATATATATAATATTATTCCAGTTTTAATACATGTGATATGTGTCTGACCAATGAGAACTAACCCAAACATAATTTTAAAATACCAGTGTTTTAAATCATTTTGTCAGTTTTCTCTCAATCTCTGATGAAGCTTCAATAAATACGTTACACTGATAATGATTTCCTATTACTTCTTTCATTTTATCATCCTGTTGGATTCCCATCTGCATTTGATATCTTTAACTCATAAGTATGAAGATCTATATATATATATATATATATGTGTGTGTGTGTGTGTGTGTATATAGGTTTTGACAAAATATTATTGGCACAACCAGGAACCAGGAACTGATTCCTCGAAAATAATTAACTTTTCACCATCCCCAGGTGTGTTTGTACAGCAACACGAAAAAAAATTAGGAAAAGAAATAATACATGGCGAGTGCAAAATAAACTGAGTTTTAACACTTAGTAATTTAGCCTTGTTCCAGACATGTTTGAGTTAAAGCACATCAAAACAAGAAAGTTATTAAGAAGTTGGTGAAAAAAATCAGGTTGTATATATCTAAAGAAACTATCTGTATTCTTCAGGTCTGTGCAAAGCAGGTAATAGGTCCAGGCCAGATGGGAAATGTAAGCCACATTTGTAATCAATTTTAAATAATGATTTATGTATTGCTATGCACATGTACTTGAGGCATTTCAACACAAGTAATTTAATGTGATTCCCTTTACAACATCAATATACTTTATAAAAGGGACCTTCTTTTGATTCTACTACAAAGAATATCCTACCCCATAAAAGTCACAGGCCCACCTGTTCCCTGATTCTAGCCTAGCATAGTTTAGCATAAATTCAAATCAGAGAAAGTAGATTGTATTGCAACAATCTTCCAAGTAAGGAGGACCTATCTGGCTGCCTTTAAAAAATAAGAATTCAAAATTTTGTGTTTTATTGGGGCTTGTACACTGACCCCTGTAAAAATGAAAAATATGAAATTATTTCTGTTATGAGGTAGATAACGGTTTAAAATATTAGGTTATTAAAATATGTTCCGATGCGCACTTATCTCTCTTTCTCTCATATATCTATATCGTCATCCACACACACACACATTTTATATATATATATATATATATATATATATATATATATATATATAAAGAGTGACAACAGTCTGTTTCATGTTTCAAGCAATGTGCATTAGATTGGCTATTTATATATGCTGGGCAATGGGGCATTATGGGTAGCAAGTTCAGTTATTTCCTGTTTATTGTGTTATTCTAATGGTTATTGGATAGGCAGGAATGGCTATATTTTAGAATATTCTAAAAGTAGAAATAGCTATGGCCCTTAATTATTTCTACTTTAGTCTTTAAATAATTTGAAATATAACTGTTCCCACCTGTCCAATAATTGTGGAGATAACATAATAAAACAGAAATACCTGACCTGGCTGCCTGTAATTCCCCACTGACCAGCAGATATAAATAGTCAAACTATGACACAACACACATTACCTGAAGATTGTATTCAAGCATGTCATGACTGAGTGTTGACCACAATGTCCACTCTTATATTTACACATGCTCCATCACAAATATTGAGCACTTTTACTTATAAATATAGCATACCTTAAAAATATATTTTTTTATCGTATATATATATATATTAGTGATTTAATAAATGTAGCTTAGATGTTGCAGAAGGCTGTAAGTATAGAGCACCCAGTGAGGATCCAACTCACTACACAGTTGTAATTGATCTAGCAAGACGAGTTTGCTAGTCATTACACCATGTTGATTTTATTTTGTCAAAGAAAAATTTAAGCAAGTGACCAGATAATGTCTGGAAGATAATGTGTTTAAGGTGAGCAGTCTTTGTAATTAAAGAGCTCTATTATAAGAAATATAGCATTAATGAACAACAACTTAATGAAATAAAATATTATAAGTCTGAACATTTTATTTATTTGTTTACTTCTATATAATATATATATATATATATATATATATATATATATTTATATATATAGATATATATATATATATATATATAAATTCAAATATTTGCTGATAAGAACCCAAATTTTTTATCTTATTTTGCAGTTTGTCTAGACGATCGCTTCTACGTGAAACCCAAAAATTAATATTTGTTCACATCTATCCAACCAAATATGTTAGCTCTATCTCTGATATTGAGCGCTTTCTAATAAGTACCGCGCATATAATATATAAATAATTATACATATATATATTTATTTATATTTATATACACTTTTTATATATATATATATATATATATATATATATATATTTAATATATATATATATCCAAGCAAGGTGATAATATATATATCCATGATAAAAAAAAACTGGGAGTGAAAGAGAACGAGAAGACTTTAGAAGAAGGAACTGGAAATCCAATTCTAAAGAGGAAACAAGGGATAAACCTTTAACTCTACTCACAAGAAAAGGAAGGAGTCTGAATCAGTAAAATTGGCATGTGTATGTTTGCTAATATGCAGGTTGATCATTAAATCCATAAACTGACCTGTGAATATGAGATAAATTTTGATCTGAAATTTTCACTGTAAAATGTTCAATTGTTGTGATTATCATTCTCCACTGACTTCGGTACATCAACAAGGATGGATATTATGTTGAAAAATATTTGTTGTATGAAATGAACGATTTTTTTCATTATTAGTTTGCTGAAAGTGAAATATCAATTCTGTAAATGAGCAGAATAATGATCATAAGAAATGGAAAAAAAATATGTAAAGATACACATTTAAAAATCTTTTAATAATAGTGAACAAAATATCAGCTTTGTATTAATATTAGATACTAAAAATATAGTCAACTATGGGTTTTATGTTGCCATTAAGTAATAAACTGATCCCACAGAATTGCTGCTTATGAATTATTATCACTTGAGTATAAAAATAAAATTTTAATCTATATAAAAAGGGGGATTGATTTTATATTGTTTTTAAGTAATAAACTGATCCCCCATAATTATCAAACATCAATATATTAATGGGGAAAAATATTTAAATAGTTATTTATGGCAATATCATGTTGAAACATTCTTTCCTGTATGATCACCAAAGTTAAGCAAACTTAAGCCTGGTCAGTACTTAGATGGGTGATTGCTTAGGAATATGAGGTGCTGTAAGCTTGGATGTGCAGGTGGTGTAATGGATAAAGGCTTGGAATTGTTAATTAGAGAGCTGAGTTCCAATTCCACTCAGGTCCATTACATTCACTTATGGACAAATATCCTTGGGAAATAGGTATGAATCAATCTCTTCTCCCTGCTAGCTATATGTTGATTAGTAAGACTTGTTTTAGTAAATTATTATTATCTCCAAAAAACAAAAAATTACAATGTAAAAATATTTCCTGGGTATAAATAACCTGCAATGTGTTGATTAACCGTAGAAATCAATCATAAAATCTTCTTTTATATGCAATGTGTCTTCAGGACATTGGTAATCATGGCTCCCCACAGGTCTGATTCTTTACTACTACATCACTTATCAACCCATAATATTCCTACTCTGCCATCCATTTACATGAATTGCCACTTTGGTCACTTCTTCAATATGCCAAGTGTGTGTTAAATTCTCCAAGCTCTCTTTCCTCATTATATATATATATATATATATATATATATTATATCCTACAATATTATATAATATAAAAATGCATCTGTGTATATGATGCTTGATATTACATATATAGAATATTGTATGTAAATAATAATGATAAAAAGGAATAATAGTTGCAGTAAATAATGAAACAATATGTAATGGAAGCATACTAATAATAAATAAAACAAATAAATAAAATTAAATAATAATTAAGATGAAAACATGCATATGTAAAAAAACAATATATATATATATATATATATATATATATATATATATATAAAATTTTTAAATTAAAAATGAAAAAATAAAAGCAAATATTTTTATATAATGCTCAATATGAAAAATAATAAAATAGTATTAAAAATAGAGCATTAATAATATTAAAATTTACTTAACTCTAAATATCAAATCCTTTTTAGTTGTTGTATCCCCTACAACTAAATACAGGGGATACAACATTTAAAACCGATTTGATATTTACAGTTAAGTAAATTTTAATATTATATACATATATAAGTGAGAGATAGATAGATATCTGTCTTTTCAATCTATTAATAATAATATCTCCTGAGTTTTTACGTAAGGAATTAGTTGTACTGAGTAATGGGGTTAAAATTTGGGCTAGAATGCTGACTAATTTATGTTAGGTACTAACTGTTCCTGATATAGTGAGCTTTTTCAGAATATGTAGTTTATGTATTTTGTTAAATTTTTAAATATGAAATCTAGAAATTAATAAAAAATGAAGACATTTCTGGGTCAGAAGTAAAAGAGCATCATCAAAAAACAGACACACTTTATGGATTAGCAAAAGTACACAAACCAAGCTCTCTGATGGGGTCCAGTATATCAGGAATAGATAGCATTCCACATAAACTAGCTGGTACAATTAATTCCTCACACACAAAAAGCTCCGGTGATCTTATTAATAAATTAAAAGAACATAGATTTAAAAGGCCAATTGAAATATTATTAATAATTATACATGGCCAGTTAAAATATGAAATCTAAATCTATCTATCTATATATATATATATATATATATATATATATCCAAATGCGAGAAAGAACAAATGGAGTAAAAATCCACTGTCAGTAGCATTTACTTTTAAAAAAGTGCTCAATACAAAGTAGATCAATATATCATTATTATATTTTTATTATAAGAGATTATAATAATGTTTTCCTTATAAAGTTATAATAAAATATAGTAATAAAATTTTATATATATATATATATATATATATATATATATATATATATATATATATATATAAATACGATATAATATATTGCACATATAGTGTTGGTATTATAAAACAGTACTCAATGTAATACAGCAGAGGTATTAAGCATATATTAATAAATCTCTCACCGATATTACAACTTGGAGTTTCATGCACAATGATGCAATCTTCAGGTGCTGAGTACAGACCTTTTCATATATATATATATATATATATATATATATATATGTGTGTGTGTGTGTGAAAAATAAAATATATATATATATATGTGTGTGTGTGAAAAATAAAATATATATATATATATATATATATATATATATATATATACATACATGTGTGTGTGTGTGTGTGTGAAAAAAATATATATATATATATATATATATATATATATACATGTGTGTGTGTGAAAAATAAAATATATATATATATATATAGATACACATACATGTGTGTGTGTGCGTAAAAAATATATATATATATATATATATATATATATATATATATATACATAATTGTGTGTGTGTGTGTGAAAAAAAAATATATATATATATATATATATATATATATACATGTGTGTGTGTGAAAAATAAAATATATATATATATATATATACACATACATGTGTGTGTGTGAAAAATAATATATATATATATATATATATATATATATATATATATATATATATATATATATATATACATGTGTGTGTACACTATATTGTAAATACTTTTAGAAATGCATTTTTTTCAACTGACACTATTTTTCACAAAATGATTTTTCCAAACAGGTTATTGTATATTTTGGACAGAATATATATGTTTTTTGTGCAATGTTTTACTATGTCATTATAATTAAGCTATTCAATGAGACTCTTCTGGTGATGTGAAAACAGCATTTCTGTTATTTTCAACTTTATAGAAAAAAAATTCCTTTAAATTATGAAATTTATTTTCCATCCATATAAGTGAATATTAATTTTATAATTGCATGATAAATAAGTAAAACTTAAATAACACCAACACTTTTAGTAGCATAGTTATACATGTTAAAAAATGGATAAGAAATAATATATTTCATGGTTCATACAATAATTAGTGATTCAATGTTTTCATGTATTTATTTAATAAATCCCACCTGTTATATATGTAATATAAATGTAATCATTAGAGAGAATGCAAGATTTGATGGATTTGTTTAATAAATTCTTCCTATAAAAAATGTAATCTTTAAGAGAGAATGAAGGGCCTGATGGATTTGTTTAATATATCTTCCTGCTAATATATATAATCAATAGAAAATCTAAGTTTTGATGGATTTGTTTAATAAATCTTTTCTGTAAAATATATAATCATTAGAGAGAATGTAAATTTGGATGGGTTTGTTTAATAAAAATGAGAGAATTAAAGTTTTGATAGATGTGTTTAATAAATTCTATATTTGATAGCCTTGTTTATCGATATCATGACACTGATAATTAGTCAAAGACAATATTAATATAGTAGATAAATTTATAATAATTTTAATAAAATTTCAAACTGCAATTTACTTTTTTAAAATAATGTTTTATACGTAATGGCATGTGAATATTGATTTTTGCAGATGTATCTTTTCATATAGATAAAGGGTATATAGTTTCAGTTTTTAGGGAGACTTTTAATCTCAAGCAGTTTTTTTTTTGTTTTTTATTTTGGAAAATGGAGATGCTTGGCTTTTTGTAGGTTTGTGTAGATAAGCTGGTATTTTTGTGTTGACTGAACTACAAAGTTATGTATTCATTTGTTTTCAGGAGATACAAACTCAAAGTTTTTTAAATTTACAGAAATCAGCAACAATTTGTTTACAATTCTCTTATTATTTTTTGTAATCTGTTTTCTATTGCAAAAATTTTTAATCTTATTTCAGATTTTATTTATGGTAGCTTTTCCCTTAAGTCCAAAAATATGAAACTCTATTACCACATTCAAATGGCCATTTCATCCCTGGGATATTCTCCCTGGGATGAAACGTTCATTAAAAAATCTATAATAAATATATTGAGCTCTCTTTTGTGGATCAGTTTTAATATTTTATATTATTAGGATCTACTTGGATTACTTACCCATGGATTTTTATCTATCTATATCTATATCGATATATATATATATATATATATATATATATATATATATATGAGAACTGAATGATAGGAAATATCCAAACATGGAATGAATGAACACCAGTGTTTATTCTTTTGGAACATTTTCTTTATTTTCCAGTGTTTATTTTCTTGGAACATTTTGTTTCTGGAAACATTATAAAAATATAACTAAAAAAAAAAAAAGAAAACTAATGAAAAGTCATTCCCATAGCGAAAAATTAAAAGTTAATAGAAAATAAAAATATATGAATGAGCTAATAAATAAAATTTATACATTGAAAATATGCTAAAATAAATTGTAAAATATGATGATTATATATATACACACACACACACACATATATATATATATATATATATATATATATATATATATATATATTCAAATTATTATATTTTTCTTTTATATATTGAAATTATATATATATATATATATATATATATATATATTTTGAGGTTACTATATATATATGTGTGTGTGTGTGTGTGTGTGTGTGTGTGTGTGTGTGTGTGTGTATTATATATATATATATATATATATATATATTTTCAGAGACTCTGTAATCAGGATTCTGAAGGTAACATCAGTTAGCTAAGTGACAAACTTTTACTCACATTAATCCTATATATATATAAATATTAAGATTATTATATACAGGATGTTATGGATAAATTATTGGCAGTTTTTATATTTATAATTTCATGTATGTGTGTTGTTTGTTTCTGATTTTGTTGACTGCACAGTGCAGTAAGTTCAGTTGGGGAAAAGAGCCCCATGATGCAATTCAGTCCGCCAGAAATTTGGAAAAGTGCATACAAACGTTTTAAGTGTTTGGGTGCCTATCTGAGGACAGTGCAGATTATTCAGAAAAAGTTAGATGAGTCTATTGGTGATTACAAAAGTATGGCAGCTCAAAAAGAGGCAATACTGCCCTTGGTCAAGAGTGTGGCTACTGGAAGGTCTGATGTCTGGTAACAGGTCACTGCACCATGCCACACAAGCAGGAGAACCCTGTCTTGGCTGTCAGACAATTTAATGTAAATATATATCACCCCTTACATATATCAAAAACTTTCCAAACTGCAACCAATTTGTTTATTATGTATTTTCACAGTTGAGAGAGAGAGAGAGAGAGATAGAATATAACAAATTTCTTTGACCGGGAAAATTGAACTGAAGGCAAGGATTATGGCAGCATTAACCAACTTAATGAAGGAGACCATTGAGAAGAGTTGCAGGAGATTATGAAAGTTATCTGGAGATCATGGTTGAAGCCAATGGTTATTTTATTAAATAAATTTACTCTTTATTATTTCAGGATACTTTGTTTAATTTTTTGTAAATACATCCATCAAAATGAGATGTCAGTGTTATTGTTGTAATTTAAACGACAAAAATTTATCCATCGATCCCTCTATGTTAAGTAAATTATATATATATATATATATATATATATATATATTAATCCTAAAAATATATATATATTAAATTAGTATATATATATATATATATATATATATATATATATATATATTATTCTTAAAAATATATATATATTAAATTAGTATATATATATATATATATATATATATATATATATATATAGAATATATTAATCCTAAAAAAAATATATATATTAAATAGTATATACATATATATATATATATATATATATATATATATATATAATGTATATATAAATAAGAAAATATATATATATATATATATATACCCCACTTTAGGTTTCATAATGTTGTTTTTCTTTTTTCCTGTTGAACGTCAAAAAAATCACATTATTTTTGCAAAAATTGATATATATATATATATATATATATATATATATATATATATATATATATATATATATATAAAAATTTAATTTTATGGCTTTTTCAAAATTTATTTACTTACTCACTTTGGACCAAAGGAGTTTCTATACCTGAAGGGTTTTTATAATATATTCATTAATAATAGTAATGACATTGATTACTGCATTACTATTTTAACCAATTCTACATGCCTGGCTAATGGTAATCTTAGAGTTGGAAAATGTTAGATTTTAGGTAACCCACCCTTTCAGAAATTGGATTCTATACACTAATGTAATAAATAGTTTTAGAATCCAAGCCTAGCAGGAGTTAATTAAACCTTAGGTCGTATGAAACTTACAGAGTGTCGTTCCAGAATCTTTTGGCACATAGCGTATGTTAATCCTCTTTTTTTGTGCCTTTTTCAAATCTTTAGAAGATATATATTTTAAGCACTTAAACATAAATAGATATGTATTATAGTAATAGCAAAAAAAAAAAAAAAATAATGAAGAGATTTGCTGCCACTTGACCTCACATGAAATCTATCAGATACAATTGTGTGAAAAAGCCCATGCTGTAATGTAGTATAGTCATAATAATTTACAAAAGGATAAATTATATTCTTTTGATAGCCTTTGTTTTTAACTGCATTCCAATGTTTTGTCATCTTAGAGGTTTGTGAATGAAATTTAATCAAGGTTAGTACTGGTACCTCAATGAAAAAAAAACCTACACAAATATGGAACAGAATCTTTTTCTTATTATATCAATTGTTAAAATAAGAATTAAATTGAAAAATTAAAAATTTAAATATTGTTTCACGATGTTGTAATAATAGTTGTAATATTTTTATGCACAATAATATTAAAAAACAAAGCTCCTCAAAAAATTTATGTTAGTGCTTTTGTGAATGTAGACAATAATAACAACAACAGAATAAAGAAAATAGAGAACAGGTGTAGGAAAGAGATAGATAGATAGATAGATAGATAGATAGATAGATAGATAGATAGATAGATAGATAGATAGATCTTAGCATCTTCATCATTTCTTGATTATCAGGATCAAATTGAAAATGGATTTATCCATACTTTTACTCATGAATTCTTTCAGAATGGGAACTTTCTGATAGATAAATAGATTTTAAAAAGATAGATATAGAGTTGAAAATGTAGACAGATAGATAGATGGTTGAAAACATAGATAGATTTGAAATTAGATAGATATGAACTGACATAGATAGATAGACTGATAGATAAATATGAAATGGCATAGATTGATTGATAAAAACAAAATATGACAGACAGACAGACAAATATGAATAGAGAGAAAGAAACCAAATAGAACATACATACTGAGAGAGATAGAGATTGAGACAGAGCCACAAAGAGACAGACAGAATCAAAATATGTCAGACAGAAAGATTGAAAGGTTGACTGTAAGTAAAATGGAGGCAAATGGTGACAGACAAATAACAAACCAAAAAATATAATGAATAATCTAAGAGAGGCAGAAACAAAATAGCTGAACTGGTAAATAAAAATATAAAATCTTTATTTACTACCACACAAGTAGTAGAGAATCTTTACTAATATGAGGTAAATCTTTGCTTCCACCTAATATGGCAAGTAATTAAAGGTTGTATTTTAGGTTGGGTCATTCAGAAATGACCTTGTTCCTTCAGCTATGACTGCAGACATTAGGGAACATCTCTTGATTCTTTAATCCTCTTAGTACAATAGGGAACTAATGTTTAGGAGATGAATCTGGTCACTAATGGACAGAAACCAACATTTAATAAAATGATCCTTTTATAAATAAAAGGAAAAATATGAATGAGTAAATTTCTGTTTAGAAAACAGAAAATATTAAAGGAATAAGAATAAGTTTGTTTGCACTGTATTTTTTTTTATCAATTAAACCCAAGCAAGGAGATAATGCTACTAAGATGCAAGGGGCGACTGGGTGTGAAAGAGAATGAAGAGATTTTCGAAGGAACCAGATGTATTGTTATTTGCAAAGTAGA